GGGTGGGAGGGGATAAACTGGGAGTTTCGGATTTGTACACAATGACTAATATAAATATAAAATAGATAAACAGGTTTATACTGTAAAGCACAGGGAAATATATACCTGTACCTTGTAGTAGCTTAGAGTGAAAAGCAATATGAAAACAAATATACACATATTCATGTATGACTGAAGTATTGTGCTGTGCACCAGAAATTGACACCACATCGTAAACTTGCTATAGTTCAATTAAAAAAATAAAAGCATCTTTCTGGCAACAACAACAAAAAAGGGGGGCACTATAGCTGCAGCATAACTTCAAATGACTTCTGTGGAAGAAAACTTGATACTCGATTATTAATGAAAAGATAAAGCCATTAAAGAGTTTGAGAGAAGCTAATAGACATAAAACCAGTCAAAGACAGTCCAATGTGAAGACAATTGTTGCTTCTGCGGGAAAAAAATCTCAAAAAGGATGATAGACTATATAAACGTTTATATATAAGAATAGAGAGAGAGAATGAATATATATATTAAATATATATGTGTGTGTTACCTCTCCATTGGCCAGTGTAGGTGTAAATCAAAATGAAAAATAAGGGAGAGCGAGGCCATGATAAATGACTGCACGGCAGAACTGGCTTCTTTTATTACAAAACAAAGGGTAGAAAATTTATGAGAATTATGGCTAAAATAATTTCAAAGCGTTTAAATAATGTGACTTATATGGAAGCCATTACCCTACTGGCATCCACCTCAGGCACAGAGACTAAAGGGCAGAGCATGCGCAGGATACCCTGACGGGGCACGTGGCGCTGGTGAGGATTCAGGACTGAGGCTGGTGTGGGGAGAATGCTGTGTGCAAGCACTCAGATCCTTCAGATCTCTTTGTACCTCAGACTGACCTGGCTTCTGTGTTCTTGTGCTTAAGGACTTGCACCATGGACTCTTTGGAAGACTCCTTGAGGGTTCCCGGAGTTGCTTTTCCTCCCTACGTGGAGAATTGAAAGTGCCAGGGACTTCAGTCCTGCCAGAGCACCTCTGCAGCAGCGACTCCCTGACGGGATGCGCTGAGAACCCAGCGGCTTGCCTTGAGCTGTAATCCACATCCAGGCCCATCTGGGCAGGGTTCTCCCAGGAACACTTCCTTCATAAGTCACTTGCATGTGGATCCTAACCTCAGTGTCTGAATCTGGGGACTTAAGTCCTACTGATGGTCATTTTGGGGAGCTGTGTGCAAAAAGTTCAGATGCACAGGATGAAGCAACTTCCAGAGGGCCTTGAGGGTCAGACAAAAGAGATTTGCACTTGTGTGTATCAAGCAGATGCTTATAGTTCTGTTGAGTGGTCAATATTCAGTAGTTTGCAGGCTGTTGTGATTCAACCCTGAGTGAGGGATGTGGGACTTCACTTACAACTTGCCTTTTTGATGTCCCCCTGGGGAGCAGGTTGATATGCAGAATTCATTGTCTGGCTCCCAGTCTAGGGTCCCTACATCTTTCATATACAGTGGTGACTTCCCACTTTATGTCATTTTATTGTTTTACTGCTCAACTGAAGAAACCCTTATTCTTTCCCCAAATAAATTTATAAGAAAAGGCCTAACATAGAAGACTTACAAGCAGACTGATCCAGAGGTAGTCCACCCATGAGATGCTGCTGTCAGACTTCAAGGGTCCAAGCAGCACAGTGATGGACTGAGACAAAATCTTCTTTACCTACTGCCCACATTTCTGGCATGAACATATTCACATGAATACAAGAATCTTTTTCTTTTTTTGGAGTATGTGTGTCAAGGAAGGTAATTAAGTCAGTTTGTTTGTTTATTTTAAGTGGAGGTAGTAGGGATTGAACCTAGGACCTTGTGCCTGCTAAGCACAGTCGACCACTAAGATCTACCCTCCCCTAGAAGGATCTTAAGAGTGCTAGTACCTGGCTCCAATCTCTCTCTCTCTCTGTATTTCATTTCCCATCCTTTTCCTTCTCTTTTGTTTTCTCTGTCCCAGTAAAGGCCATGGCATCGCACTGCATTTATACCACACCCCAGCCCCCACCCCAGGGCAAGTGGGCCCCTGCTTGATTGCTGGATGAGAAAGGAGATGCTGGGCTAGCCCTGCTCAATGGCCATTGGCCAGCGGGTCCTTAATGTACTTCCGTGATCCCTGCGTCTCCACCATGGATCTGAGTTCATGCCTGGAGTCAGGTAGGGACTGTGGGGACCACTGAGCAGGCCCAGGGAGCTGGACACAGCTGCTCAGCTGAAGATGGTAAAAGCCAAACAAAGGAAGTCTCTGGGACAGAAGAACTAGGGAGGGGACAGCAAACTTCCCATGGAAGGAAGGAATGGAGTCCTCCGTGCTGTGCTCGAGGAACTAAACTGAGGGTCCAGGAGAAGGGAGTGAAATGCTGGCAACACAATCAGGGCTACAAGCAACATAAGGGCACTTCTGCACAGGAGTGAAATTTTCTATATCTTCTGCCAGGAATTCTGGCAGGACTGGAGAGATTTTTACAAATTGATGTGAAATTCACATGACCTAAAAGAAACCATTTGTTTTTTTTCCCCTGATACATATAGATTTATAATCCAGAATATTTAAAAAAAATGCTGGTATAAGCTCAATGTTAGAGATGAGTAGGCACTTCAGAAAGACTTAAGAAGGAATTAAAATGATCCCAACCTGGGAGGGAGTGTACCTGGGAGGGAGGATATAGCTCAAGTGGTAGAGCACATGCTTAGCATGTGTGAGGTCCTGGGTTCAATCCCCATTACCTCCTCTAAAAATAAATTAAACCTGATTACCTCCTCCACCCCTACACCCTGACAAAATAAAATAATTAAATAACATGCTGAAGAAGAAATAAAATATTAAGGTAAAATGACTTCAACCTGCCCCCCAGAAAAAACCACAGTTAAACATATTCACACATTCTATATTTTGTAAGAGTTTTTCTTATGCATACAAGCATTTTATTTTTCAGAACCAGGATAATCCTAATTATAATCTGATTTTTTTTAAATCAACATTTACATGGTGAATCCCTTTCCACGTCATTTCTATCAGTGTTGGAAAACTGCACAGTACTTTTTAGGTGTCATACACACTGTGCTCAGCATCCAGCAGAACATTGATACTTGCAGGTTCTTCATTTGATTATTCAGTGAATGTCTGTAATCCAGCTTGCCATGCCTGTGACGCTTCCTGAGGGGCTGAACCTTATCTCTCCAGAAAGGGCAGCCGTTAGGCATCCACATTTTATAACTTTTGTTGCCAAATCTCTTCAGTCTTTGCCCGATGGGTGAGAGGTACTGAGAGGACCCAGCGAATCCACAGGCCAGCAGGGACCTCAGGTGTTGTCTCGTAAGCAGAGGATGAACTAGCTATGGAGATTCCATTTATTTTCTATCTTTCTATTTATTTTTTCACCCTCCTGAGGAGAAACAGAAATTCAGATTTGTACATGAAAACCTATTTTTAAAGTTGGCTCTGAAATTTTTAACCCTATAAAGAGCAAACAGAAGAGAGTCACTGGGTGGGATGCAGCGACACACACAGCTGAGTTAACGACTTCATGGTCAGTGAGAGGAGGTGGGGTCAGCTGGTTCGTGGAAGAGAAACTAACATGTGGCCCTGGGGCGGGCAAAGCTCAGTTTACCAAAGAAGAGCCAGCAGGCTTGTTGCTGTTATGTGGCCCGCACTAGAGCAGCGGAGCGAGGCTCGGAGTGCAGAGCCCACAGGGCTCCCCGCTCCTAGGGCTGTCTGCCCCCTCTGTCTCCTCTCTCCTGTGGAATTAGACACGTCCGTGCTCAGGGCCGGCGTCCAGGGTCTGCCTGACAGGGAAAGAGCTGATCCTTGTCATTATGGCTCCGGGAGACCCT